GCAACTAAATACTAGTGATGTATTTTCAATGGTCTTTTATCTGTTTGACATGATTCCATACTTTTTTCCTCAGAATTGAGTGATTCCATACTTTTTTCCTCAGAATTGAGTGATTCCATACTTTTTTCCTCAGAATTGAGTGATTCCATATTTTTTGCCAGGGGTTGTACATATACAGTTTACAGACCTACTGACTGATTACAAGACTGTAGACACCTGTGATGATAATTAGAGGACACACCTTGATTTAACATGACCCTTTGGTCCCATTAGTTTCAGGGGTACTGAAGGAAATTTTGTAACTGATTAAATGAATGTTAAATGCAGTTTTGTATTTTATACTATCTGATCATTTCAGCCTTTAAGGCTAAAGCAGACAGGGTTGGTGTGTGTCTTTTCATGTGTTCTTTCTTTAGGATAAACATGAAAAAACGTAACCCCTCCAGAGATGTAACCAGGAAGAGAAATACATTCTAAGCTCAATTCATTATTATAGTAGAGAGAAGTTATCAGTGTGTTGCAGAGTCTGTTAGATTCAGCCTGCTGAGCTGTTTTGGTTTGGTTTTAGCTCTAGGACAGTGGTTCTTAACCTGGGTTCGATCGAACCCTAGGGGTTCAATGAGCTGATCTCAGGGGTTCGGTGGAGCCTCTGCCGTGGAGGTAAAGACACATTTGTGTCAAGTCATGATGACACGCCCCGCTTGGCCATCCCTTGCTGCAGAGGATCACGTGAGATTGCTTGGCCAATCTGTGCTGGCCCCAAAATGTATTTTGTGGATTCAAAATGACAAAAAACAAATTAGCTTTAAAATAATTTTAAAAAAGTTATTAAAAAGTGTTAAATTCTTCAAAAAAATCCTAATTTATTTTTTATTAGTAAAATAGTAAAAAACATATATTTTTGGGGGGCTGAAATTTTTTTATGGGGCCAAAATATTTTTGGGGGGCCAGAATAAAGTCATACTGTAATTTGTTGTGAGTTCATGCACTGTGTTGGTTTAGTTCTTTGAGCAAGGTGATGTTCATGCACAGCTCATTTTATACACCAGTAAAAAAGACTTGTGCCTTTGTCTTGAATTTGGAAAAAAAATCACATTTTATTTATCAATAAAAAGGGTTCAGTGAATGCGCATACGAAACTGGTGGGTTCGGTACCTCAAAAAAGGTTAAGAACCACTGCTGTAGATCAACATGTGTTAAACTGACAGAGTTACAACCATTTCTGTTATGGCTGATGCTGATTAGCCAATCTGTGGCAGCCATTATGACCTGGGTTGTCTCCAGTTTTAGGTGTACAGTGGTTTGCAAAAGTATTCATACCCCTTGAACTTTTCCATATTTTGTCACATTACAACCACAAACA